AAAAATCTGTTTTATGTGTTAAAAAATAATTAAAATTAACAATAAATTGTTTTAATTTGTAAGGTAGATAATGTTCCCAATAATTACATGTATTTTTTTTTTTGAAGAAGAAGAAGATTTGTATGTTGACCCAAAATATTAGCAACAGTAATATGTACATAAATAAGATTTAAACTTGCATTATTTAAAAGATTCCAACATTCAAATTTGCGTGATGGGCGGACGTTTGAGAAAAAAATTGAATGCTGTTTTACACAATTTTTTAATTGTCAAATTAATAAATTAAATTTTTAATTAATGCTGAAAATAGAAGTGCAATTAATGCTTTTGACTTTTCTCATACTAAAAGTAGTATATACGTTCCCTTTTTATATAATTATAGATTGAAAAAAATGAACGGAAAACCTATTTTGACTTTATCAACAATTAACTAAATAAATGTCGTTTTGGATACTTTGTACATATTTTCCATTATTACCCTCATTTAAATAATAATAAGAGTTATTATTGACAAAAAAATATTTTTAATTATTATGCTATTTCTCAAAACGATATTTATTAAAAATAAGAAGAAGTAAATTTTATTTATTGTTTTGCCGGCAATTATATGTAGACTAGAAATTGAAAGGACATAGTAAACAGTACAATGGTAGTATAGTAATATTCACTATAAATGAGAAATTAGAAAAAGTAATAAATTAGCCACTCGAGTATTATAGCTACGGCAACACGTGCTGTACATTAATAAATATATCTACTCTGTTACCATCACTCCGTAAGAACAAAAACCCCTTTCCTGCCATTTTTGCACAGCAAAACCCCCTATTTCACTTCAAATATCATCCCCTGAAAACAAAGAAAAAAAGGCAGAAGGGAGAGAATGTACAAATCCAAATTACAGGAGTTCTGCCAGCGCTGTTGCTGGGAGTTGCCGGAATACAAAACTGTCAGGGATGGCCCCGATCACTTGCCCCGCTTCACCGCCACCGTTTCTGTGCACGGACAGGTCTTTGAGACGCCGGAACAATGCAAGTCCTCTAAGGAAGCACAGAACGCCGCCGCTCGAATAGCGTTGGAGCACTTGAACAATCCGGCGCCGCCGCAAGTTCACCATACGCCGGCAACCGCTTCTGCGCCGGCCGCCGTTAATCATCAGCTTCAGGAGGCGCCGCCTGTTACTCCAGTTGCTCCGCTCCCTGAACTGCGGCCGGCTGTTCCAGATCCTCAGTTACTTCCTCTATCTCCACTTCCTTCATCTCTTCCAATCCCCCCTCCTGGTAATTCATATGTTTTCTTTTTTAGTTCTTATGGTTATGTATGGTTGCCTGGGTCATTAGATGGCTGCTTTTGAGACTTTTGATTCAATTTTTAGAGATAGGGTTTTAAGGTTATTTTCTGTTATATACTGTTAATCCGGGGAACAATTTTGGATAAAGGCTGGATATATCTGTAATGTTGTTTTCCAGCTCTAGCATTGAGGAGTAACTAGGGAGATTCGGGAAAATATTGAATTTTTCTGTTGTTCTGCAAATTTTTATTGATGTCTCCTCGATAAGTTTTGTTACAATGATTTTCTATTGGGAAGCTTATACCTCTCTTTCAACCATGGTTTGTTTGATCAGTGCCCTATTTAGGAGCTATCCTAGCAGCAATTAAGCATCTATGCTTTAAGATCTAGAGAATGGCATGTTTTAAATAGGAAACAAACTGATGAAACTTGTAATCTGGAGATAAAAAATGATGATGTCCATGATGATAGAGTATTGAGATGTAAATAATATTTGTGCAGGACTTTTGGTGCCGAAGAGTGCTAATTCAAATTTTGCTAGTGAAGATATACTGCAGCAGAATTGTAAGGATACTGGACAAGCTTCTATGGTTTATCGGGTAGCAATAGGTTCCAATGAAAACATTTATAAAGGTACTGTAATTTTAATTGTGTTTATTGTTATTATTTTGGACAAACAACTTTGCTGCTTCAGGATATCCATAATTCTTATGAGAGTGCTCCAACCTTTTCGGTAAATAACATTTGCACGTTTGGTGATTAAGAAACATTGTATATATGAGCCTTTTTCGCCCCTCTAGTACAGAAAAATGTCTTGCCATTAATGTCTAGTAACAAAAGATGTCTGGTGGGTTAATGTTGGCACTAGGTTCATTGGCATGTTAAATGAGTATGTGGGTCTTCTCTGTCGGACTTCCCTCTGCTGTTACTCTTCTACAATGAGGCTGATAATTAAAACTGGAATATCAAAACATAAATTCAACTTGGATGTATAACCTGATTCAAACCTTCAGAAAGATGCTGAAAATTTGATCATATTGGTAAAACCTAATCTCAGGTTTTGATAATATGCGAGTTAAGCTGATAATTAATGGCAAAGGAGAGTACATGTAAAAGAACTCGGGAAGGACAAAATAGGTATGTAAGTTAGGTCATTAATGTATGATTACCTCGAAACAGAAAACTAGCAAGGAAATAATAATATCATCCATTAGTTACTTCGAAGATATTGTGATTTAATTTTTGCTGTTTGGTTTTGAACTTTGTTTGTCCCAAGAAGCTTCTGACTTCAAAGCTAGGATATTTTCCTCCCTCATGATTCTTCTTATTATTATATAAGTTAGTAAATTTGATCCAGATAAATAAAATAGGTAGTTCTTGAAACTTATGTTTGGTATTTGCAAGATTTCAATATATATGACCTGGAAGAGTTGATTTGCGAAGAATTAACCAATGCTTTATGATCCATAATCAATGCCTACCCTCATTTTATCATGTCAATAATGATAGTGTACAACTTAATCCTTTAGCACTTTTACCATTTCTTTGCCATGTGTAAATAAACATGATCCACAAGATGCATTATCTTAAACAAATGAGAAGGTAGTTGCTTCTAGGACATTATTTTCTTCGTCACCCATTTCTCTCTTTTTTCTTTCATAGATACTTTGCATTTGTACAAGAACCAGCTTCAGAAATTTGCTCAGAAAAAAAATATTGGTCTCCCGGTATATACTACGGAGGCTGAGGGCCCTCCCCATGCTCGTCGTTTCAAGTCAAGTGTCTGTGTTGCGGGAAAATCATACACGACAAAGGAATTTTTCACCACATTGAAGGAAGCCGAGCAAGCGGCCGCTAGAATAGCTTGTCAAGAGTTGTCTGTCGACGTTACTCAAGAGGCTAGTATTCTGATTAGCTTAATAATGTAGCATTATTTGTTCATTTTTTCTGATTTTTTTTTTCTTTACCTGGTTGAATAATCATATATAAAATTTATTTTGATCAGGATGGAGGGTTATACAAAACTTTGCTGCAAGAACTTGCCCAGAAAAGGGGTCTTCCCTGCCCATCATATGAGACAGTCCAATCGGGTGTGCCCCATAGACCTTTATTTTCATCCACGGTTGTGGTGGGAAGTTGTACATTCCGAGGGGCTGATGCCAAAACCAAGAAGCAGGCTGTGATGAATGCTGCTAGAGCTGCTTATTCTGATCTTTCAGAGCGTAAGCAATTAAGAATTCATGCAGAGTGGATTTCTTTAATGATATATATTTATTCATTCACAATTTTATTGCGAAAGCACCCTTGAGGTTTACTCTAAACTGGAAAGTAAATACCACTATCTTTTTAGTTATAAACACCACCTTGATATCTGTTATTTTACAAAGTGCACTTCCTGAGGGCATTTGATATAAAAGAGAAATTGCAGAGCTCTAAAGGTGCTGTTAGCATATGCAATTTGTACGACCTTTAAATTCTATGTCTTGAATCCTGTATAACATAAATTAACATGCAGCTTTAACATGCTTCTGTATTTGCTGGACATACAGCAGCAGAACCCTCAAGGCTGCAGTCCATCAGTGTATGTACAGATGCTGAAAGTTCCTCACGGGATGATAAGGCTAGCGAAACTACTGAAAGTCATCGTGATTCAACAGCTGAAGGTGATTCGAAACTAGATATACTTTTTAAAAATTATAGTTATCTTGAGTATTGTTGGTATAAAAATTAACCTGGTGTAAGATAAAAATTGTAAGCATAGTCTGCTTTGGATAAAGGGCATTGATTGCTAGTCCAGGTTTCGAAACTTTTGTCTCTGTCTTCGAAATAAGAGTGCCAAAACAATGAAATTCAATACATTCTTGCATTCCTGAGTTCATATCCAAGTTGTTAGGTGTTTTTGCCTTCTACAACTTGATAGTTGATACAATGAAGGTTCAATATTTCCTTGAAGTTAATTGAACCATTGTACAATAATGTCTTCTTATTTCTGATTCATTGTTGGATGAGCAAAAGTTCACCTTTCCTTTATGTGCAGAAATTTTCTGAAAGCAAAATCCATTTTAAAGAATGAGATACTTCGAAAATCCAAACTCCTTTTTACCGCCTTTATGTTTTTGTTCTCTCTTTTTCTTTTTTATTTTATTTTCATAGTTGTGTGCATCAAAAACTCTTATGAAGCATTATTATGGTTGAAAATGTCAGTTCGGCAATTTATATTCCTTTCTTTTTCCTGTTTGACTTTGGAAATGCTCCTAATGCACAAAATGCACCTCCATGGGGTAATATAATTTTACAAAAACTTTTTCATTTCTCTTTTTGACTGTGCTAAATCTCAGTCTAGTAATTGTAGCTGTGCCTAGCCAATATTGTAGTTGGATAATTTTGTTCCTTATATGAATTGATTATATCCAGAAGCTCATCTACAAGCAAAGAGAGCCAAATATTCACATGAAAGCATGAATGTGAATGATGATACTCGTGTCCCAGGTTCATCTGAAGGCAAATCTGATGAATCGACTTTCAATCCTAAGCCCGTTGGTAGTGTGCTATCGACTCAAGAACCGTGCGGTGTCCGGTCAAAGACTGTGGTTTATTCTCGCAAATCAAACCTGCCAAAGCCTGAATCAGCTTCCGTGTTGCCTTTTAGTGATGATGAGTGGGTCGCGTATAAAGTCGAGCACGACACGAGACCTACTGCACAGAAATAGGCTTATGATCAGGACCCATCTCTCTCTTTCTTTTTTTCACTGTTATTGTTAAATTCGCAGGCTATTTATAGGTTGATGATTCTTTCGTATAACTAGGTAAGTGCTTTATGGAATTTAGTGTCTTGAATTGTTGAAGTTCTAACTTATTACCATTATCATGCGATCACGGTCTTTGACCGCGTCCGCGATTGACGTAATATCAATATGAGACTTTTGAAGATTATATGGCTAATTAGACTAGTAATATTTTCGTCCTAAGTGGAATATTTTTGGGTTTATTTACGTCACCGGACCAAACACGTGGATAAGGTTGACTCGACCTACTCGAGACGTGCTTAAAATACTGAACCATTTTTATGTTCTCAGGCAACATTAAAGGAATGTGTGGATACAATTTTTTTCAAAAAAAAAATCATCATTTATAATTCATCACAATTTTAATTCAAATTTTAGTCAATTTTAATGCAATCTCGCTATCTTTAGTATTAATCAATATAGTTAAATAATATTATGCAATCGTTTTACTCATTATATTAATTTTAATTAACTATTTATTCACTTACATGATTTTAACTAACAATCACTTAACATGCGGGCAATTCAAAAGCTATAAAGACGATCCTCTCCTATCCCATGCGCATTGTACTGGGTTGGTCTCGAGGATGAAGCTATCTAGGCCTGTCTAAATAGCTCGACCTCCTTCCGTCCCTCGAAGGTCCGGTCGAATAGGTAGAAGTTAGTGGGGTTGACCCTCCGATCACTGGTGAAGGAGAGAATCAGACTGAAAATTGGTGAACCTTTTTATTTTGTTATTTTTTTGTTATGTAATGTCATAAAACGAGAATATTTATCCAATTTTGCAATTTATATCATTTGTTTTGTTGAGGCCGCATTGACCTGTGGTATGCTTTAATTTTTCTCAACAATATTTTACCCGTCTGGCCGATCTATGTTGATCGTGTAATAATTGAGTGCAAATTATAACAAATAATTGAGTGAAATTATGAGTGGGTCCCATTTATTTAGAAAGGTGTGCCTGAAGATAAATTATTGTTATCTTGCAAAATTGTCTGTACAATTATTACAGACCCATTCGGCATTTTGGCCACTTGCTCCTCTAACCACTAGCTAATAATTGTCTCTATATATGTGCTTTCAGCTGAATGAAAGATACACTAGACGGAAGAAAACAGTATGAGAAAGAAAAAAATAGAGAATAGAAATTAAAGAAAGAGAGATAAAGAAAATATTTTTAGAGGAAAATATAGAGAGAAAGAAGATAAGAAATTATCTGGTATAAAAATAGCAAAAGCGAAATAATTTTATTCCTATTTTAAATGCTCAATTCTCGACTCCGTTCTAGTTCGCTGGAGCTCGTAAATCCAGTGTGCTACTGATTTCGAGACGATCGCCGTTGTATCTTTGATGACGTTATGCCTGAACCGTTAGCACTACACGACGCGTATTCTCCTTGCTAAAAGAGTTTACTCGCCTCGGCTAAAATCTTTCCGTTTTTTCAAGTTGTAATTTATTTTCAGTTCTATTGTAATTTTCTATTTTTAGATAATTTATAGGAACTGAAAAATACATTTCAATTCGTAAGTTCCCGTGTATTTTCGACACACAATTTCTAACAATCGCAAGACAAATAATTTCAACCTACTGAACTGATGGCATCCACCGAAGATGGTTCCTACACTCAACAGACGATTAACCACACTGTTCATCATCCTGTACCTGCTGTCCATGTCCCTACTGCTGAGAAACCTGAAAAATTCAACGGGCTTGACTTCAAGAGATGACAATAGAAGATGCATTTTTATCAAACCACTTTGGGTTTGGTGAAGTACCTGAAGGACGACCCTCCGTTCATTGATGAAATTGAAACTAATGCTGAACTACGCGCTACGTACGAGGCTTGGGGGCAAGGTGATTACCTTTGTCGTAACTATGTCCTGAACGGACTTAGTAATGAGTTGTACAATGTGTACACCTCGGTTGGTTGTCAAAGAGCTTTGGGCTGCTTTGGAGAAGAAGTACAAGACTGAGGATGCCTGGACAAAGAAATTTGTCGTCGGTAAGTATCTTGACTTCAAGATGGTCGATTCAAAGACCGTAGTTGTTGGTGTTATATACTTAAGCTTTGCTTTAGTGGATATTACACTTGTTATTTCTTGATGAATGAGAATTATGTTTGGTTAAATAAGTTCCACGTTCTGTTGTTTTGCATGTAGATAAGTGGGTCTTCATCGGGCGTACCGAAGATCACTATATCAGTTACTTGCGAAACAAGAGTAATTGGTTCACAACCTAGATGGAATTGAACAACCCATCGGAACGATTGTAGTGTCAACCGTACAGTTTATCTTGACCGATTAGTTGCACTAGTACATTTATGTATTGAATAGGATCCCAGAGAGGGATGTTCGTTTTATACTGATCGTCGTAAACGAACTAGGCCTCAGTTAATTATTGCGTGCTCTTAACCCGTAAGATATTAAATAGGCATGTGCACATAATTGTTGTTGCTTTGATTCTTTGGGTGAGATCCAAGCCGGGTCGACGTACTTAATGAATTGGGTAATGACTTTATGTGTTCGATGTGCTATTAGGATATTTACGGTCACCATGTGCGTTAGTCTGATGATGTCCCCGAAGTGAGTTCATGAAGGAATATTATGCTAAACCCTGCAGGTGGATTTATTCCGGCATAATATGAATGCTATGAGCGAGCGCTAGCTTCGGTAATATAATATATTAATTTATTCTTGATTATTAGTGATCGAATTAATTAATGGACATTATATCTTAAACATGGGGAGGTAAATCGGATAATTATAATAAGGAGTCTCAAATGTAATTTGGGATAGGTAAAGGGAGTGCAATAATATTATTGTGGTGGACTCTAATATTATTAATATATTAATTGTGGGGTTGCTCCACAGTATTAATATATTAGAAGCCCTTATCCTATTCTCCTTAGGATCCCTACTGTAGCTCTATATATACAGCATTAGGCTCATGGAAGAAGAGAGCAATCCCATAACCTACAAATTTCGTCCGCCCCCTTCTCTCTCTCTCTTCCAAGGAGTTGTTCTATTTCTTGTGCTCCACTGATACAAGATCTAGATAGTTGTTTGAGAATACAGTAGAAGATCTTAAGGTATATACGGGATTCCAATCAAATCTATCATCCATCCAAACCGGAGACCAAAACCAGCAAGTGACCATACCACGACGACCAGGACGACGAGTCGGAGAGATCACCGTCGAGATCACCGCCAGCCGCCGCCGCACGCGCCCACACGCGCGCCGGAAGATCCCAGCTGCTGGAACTTACACGCGCGCGTGAGAGCGCGTGAACCCTCTGATTTCCGACCGGTCAACGCCGTTGACTTCGCCGTGACGCCAACTTTCTGGATTGGTCAAGTTCGTTCGATTCCGAGAAGATTTGATTTGCGGTCATCTGTTCGGGCCAGCCAGATCTACATAAATTTTAAGCCGTAAGTTTTCTACATCAAACCTTTAGATCCGCTGCGCATAGGTTTATGTTGAATGTTTGTCCGTGATTTGTGAATATCGAGATCCTCATGGGTTTCAACAATTGGTATCAGAGCACGAGGTTAATCTGTTATGTACAAGATTCGGATTAAACGGCTTATATTGTCTATGTGTGCTCAAGCGCAGCCATACATATTGGATTATTTGCATAACTTGGTTTTGCAGGAAGTAGTTAATCCACTATTATGGCCACCCTTTTATGTGCTTGTGCTTAATTGATGGTTGGTTGTATGGTTTTAAATTTGTTTTTAAAGCCTCAGGATTGTCGAGGAATTATGGATGAATGCTTGTATTTATTGCTCGGGGGTTGACCGGATAGTTTAATTTATTAGTAGAAGGCATGTAAATCCACTCTTTGGATCTAGGAATCGATTTATGTAATTTTGTAAATTATATTTTTTGAATTGTGATCGACCGTTGGAGATCGGGCCTTCACAAAGATCCAAAGAGTCTCGACGAATAATAAAAAAAAATATTTTTCGACCACCAGGTTGGCGACCGGTGACCGGCGGGACGACCGGAGGACCTCAGCAACATCCATGGTGGAGGTTTTGTGGAACTTGCAGTACAAGTCAACCGGGATTCTACTGCAGTGGGAGTTCCAGTTGGTTTAGGAAAGAAATCCTAATCCAAGAATAATAAATATTTAATTGGCCATAATAGTGGATATTTATTTATGACATTAATTATTTATTTGTTTATTCATGCATGGAATTAATTGTTGCCTTGTGTGCATAGGGTTATTTAGAATTGCATGAATACATATTAAAAATCCTCTTTTAAATACTAAGTTGAGAAGGATATTTAAAGTTAAGATAATTTTAAATTCCTAAGGCCTCCATTTCTAATTCGTTGGTAAATCAATTAATTGATAGTGTGGGCTTCCCCGAGGATGACATTACTTGAAATTAATTGAAGGATAATTATCAGAACGAATTTCTAAATTTAGACGGTTAGAGGAAATCGAATGAGAGCGTACGGGTCACCTCGAGGTGAACGTATAACCGATTTTGACGACCTTAGGACCGAGAAATGGGATTCACTTAGAATGCGATTCATTTCATAACCCCCCGAGGGGTCCCTGATTTTTATTGCATGGCCAAACGGTGACCGATTATTAATTTCGTTCGTCATGAAATTGGTTTTGACTAATGGAAATTAATGGGTTCTAAAAAAAACCCTTCTTTAAAGAAACGAAGAATTAGTAGATTTGCCCGAGCATCATACTAAATTCTCAAGGTTTAAGGATATCGGTGAATTTAAGTTAGTATTGTTTTGAGGATGTCAATATTAACAGTTAAATTCAAAATGTTTAATCAGTAAAATATTTTCGTAATTCTTAGGTTTATTCATCATGTCGTTCAATCCGTTGTCTGTTATCCTAAAAGAAAATCAACTCACCGGTCCTAATTACATTGATTGGAAAAGGAACTTAGACA